TTACATTGAATCTGTAGATCAACTTGAGAAACACTATCATCATAACTATATTAGTGAACATAGGATGTCTTTTCATTTGTTTAGGTCTTTAATTTCTTTCAGCAATTATTTCTAGTTTTCAGTGTATAATAAGCCTTGAGTTTTCCTTGGTTAAATTTATTATTAATTATTTTATTCTTTTTTTGATGCTATTGCCTTCTTTTTGATACTATTTTTTAAAAACTCATCTTTGGATTGTTGATTGCTGGTGTATAGATATACAATTAATTTTTGTAAATTGATCTTGTGTCCTGCGACCTTGCAAACTTGCCAAGTCATGCTAACTGCTTTTGTGTGGACGCCTTAGGATTTTCTATATACAAGATCATGTCATCTGCAAATAGAAGTAGCTTTACTTTTTGTCCAGTCTGCAAGCCTTTTATTTCATTTTCTTGATTAACTTACCTGGGTAAAACCTCCAGTAAAACAGTAAATAGCAACGACAAGAGCAGGCAGCCTTGTCTTATACTTCATCTTAGGGGAAAAGCATCTGGTAGTTCACCATTAAGTATGATATACAGGGTACATCATTTCAGTAGACATCCTCTATTGGGTTAAGGATGTTCCCTTCTAGTTCAAGTTTATTGAATATTTTAGCATGAAGTAGTACTGTATTCTGTCAAATACTTTTCCTTTTTTTAATAAGATGACCATGTGGATTTTGTCTTTTAGTCTATTCATATGGTCTATTACATTAATGTAAGTCAACTGTGTATTCCTGGGATAAACTTCATTTGATCACATATATAATCCTTTTTATATGTTGTTGAGTTAGGGTTGCCAGTATTCTGTTAAGGAGTTTGTATCTATATTCATAAGAGATACTGGTCTATAGTTTTCTTATGATGTCTCAGTCTTCTTTTGTTATCAGGACAATACTTCATGGAATGGTTTAGGAATTGCTCTTCCCACTTTATTTTTTGGAAGAGTTTGTGAGTAATTAGTATTAATTCTTCTTTAAATGTTTGGCAGAATTTACCAGTAAAGCCATCTCATCCTGGGCTTTTCCTTGTGTGAAATTTTAAAATTAACAATTCAATGTTTTTACTTGTTTAAGGTCTATTCAGATTTTCTATCTCTTCTTGAGTCAGTTTTGGTAGTTTCTGTCCCAGAATAAATAAATAAATCTTCCATTTATTCTAAGTTATCTAATTTGTTGGCATATGGTTATTCATAGTATTTCCCTATTGTCCTTTTCATTTCTGTAAGACTAGTTAAAATGTCACCTTTCTTGTTCCCGATTTTGATAATTTGAATCTTCTTTTTATTTTTGGTCATTCTAACGACAAGACTGTCATTTTAATTTTTTCAAAGAACTAACTTTTGGTTTCACAGATTTTCTCTATTTAAAAAAAATTTTTTACTATTGGTATTTAAGTGTTATAATGGTATAGTTATGTTTTGTTTTATGAGTAGGAGCTCCCAAAATTTGGAATTTATTAAAAATTATGTAACTATTCTTACATGTTTAAACTTCAGTCACCATCAAAGTACTCTCTGTTTGACGCAATACACCTACCAAGACACTTTTTCTACTGCTCAAAACAATTTTGGTTTCATCAATTTTGATGACTTTTGGTGCTTCTGTTTTTTGTTTAACCTCTTCCACATCAGCAAAATGTTTTCCTTTGAGGATTTTTTTCATTCAGGGGAAACAAAAAAGGCACTCAGGGTGAGCCTGAGTAAGTAGAGAGGGTGGTACAGGAGTCATGCCATTTTTGGTCAAAAATTGTTGAACACTCAGTGCAGTGTGGGCAGGTGTACTTGTAAATCACCCACCACGAAATGGGCAAATGCTTTGAAAGAATCTCCCCACCCCCCAAATTCACTGAAGCCAGATACCGTCTCTCACAACAATGCTAGCTGGTACATTGATGCTGATGGGTTCTTAGAACATTTACCTAGTAAAGAAAGCCTGTACTACCAGGTACCACCCTCCAGTTGCTTTTGTGATTCCCCCTCTTATATAAAAGGGTCTTTATCTTTTGGAAACATGCACTGAAACAGTGATAGGCAAAATATGATGACTGGTATTTGCTTACAAAATAAATCAAGAGGCAGTATTAGAAGGGGTATTGATAAAGCAAGATTGGCCAACTGTTGGTAACTTGGATGATGGATACATAAGGGTTCATGATACTATTATCATTACCTTTTTATATGCTTTACTATCTCTATAACAAAAACTTTAAAATATTGAAAAAAAAAGTAAAACTTTATCCTAAAAATAACACTTCTAAATGGGAACGTTCCAGAACATGGCTCTATCTAGAAAAAGCATAAACTGAAATGTCTTCCAAATGCATTTTGCTTTTCACAAAAGCGTCCATTTGTGATAAGGGGTAGGTATAAAAGGACAGCAGCACATGGGGAGTTGACCAAGCTTGCCCAGCTTCCTCTGGAATGCCCAGTGACAAAGGTCTCTCTAGTATACTACACAGATTAGGTAACGTTTCTGCAAGAAAAAACTTTGAGGCTATCCACAGAAGCTGAAATCAGGCAGACCTCTCCCTCAGTGATTGATTAACAAGGAGAGGAAAGATGAAGAGGAACTGTTACCCTGGACCACCCTGCCCACAGCACCCCAGGGGCAGCTGAGCACCATGGGATCTCAGTGACCTGACCAGAGAAGATTTGAGCAGGAAGAATAAAGGTTTCAGTCCCAAACTCATATATACAAGGAGCAGAAACAAGACCTCATGCTTAGACATGTTCTCCCTGCTCCTAAAAGCTGTCCAGGAGGGAGATTTGCCCCTTTCCCAAAGCCCCTGCATGCCTGACTCCTAGCCTCAGACCTGGCCACCCCTGTGGGAGAGGCCCCTCTCAGAGGGCAGAAGGTGCATGCAAAATTTTCCCAGGCCCCAGAGGCAGGCAGTCCACACCGCTCTCAGCTACTCCACAGCACAACTGAAAACCTCATTGTTCTGCACAAGTTGAAACTAGAAATCCATGCCAGGAAAACAGCTTTTGAGACATTTAAAAATAGCATGGTACACTGAAGCTGATGGGTTCTTAGAATACCTACCTAGTAGAAAAAGCCTGTACTACCAGGGACCACCCTCCAAAAGATAATTCGAGTTTCTTTTGTGGTTCCCCCTCGTATATAAAAGGGTCTTTATCTTTTGGAAACATGCACTGAAGTAGTGATAGGCAAAACATGACGACTGGTATTTAATAGTTTTTAAAAATGTCATGGTGTTTAACCTTCCTGAAGGCCGTGGCTTTCAAAATTAATGCTGTTTTCTTATTTTTGCTTTTGTTTCATAAAGTACCAGAACCCTCCAAATGAATTGCACCTACAGAGCAATACACTCACAGGTGCTAGAAAGAGAGCTCTGGCTCCCCCTCTTGCACTCAGTGGGCATTGCTCCCAGAGCAGGGCTTTGGCAGGAGCCAGCCGGGAGCCTGCCCCAAGGCCTCCTACACTTCAGGCACGCAGATGAAGGGGATGTGACCCTGCTACCTCCCCTGCCAGGTAAGTACGGGTAAAGGGGATGAATACAGAGTGAAGTGGGAGCTGCTGGGTACTGAGCAAGGGAGTGACGTGCTTTGACTTCTGAAGAGGAGATGCAGAGGAACAGACGTGGGTTGTTTTAGGAAACTGATGAGCAAGAGCTAAGAGGAGAGCTAATGTTGGTGATGAAGACTAGGGTGCTGGGGGAGGAAATGAGGCTTTCATCCCACACCCCAACTCTACCTGCCGAGCAGAATTGACGGAGCCTGGTAAAGGATGAGGAGCGGGGCTGAGGGAAGGAAGAATTGGGGTAACTCCTTGGGTTTGGCCTGTCCATGAGGTAAACAGTATCTCCCTGATTGAGATGGGGGTGCCAAGAATCAGCATGCTTAGGGGGTGATCTCCTAAGAACCCCTCTGGTCATGCTAAGTCTGAGAGGACAACCAGATGTCTCCATGGGCAGGTCAAGCGGCAGTGGGATCCAGGACTGTGGAGCTCAGAAGGGCCCATGCTAGGGACTTGACATCAATACATGTGGAAGTGCTGAAAGCCCTAGGCTGAGGTGCGCTGTCCTGTAGTGCAAGGGTGCACACGGAGAGAAGAGGCTGAGCGGCAGCCTGGGGGCGCCCCCACATTTGAGGTCTGGCAGAGGAAGGGGAGACCAAAGCACTCTGTGCAGGCACGAGTAGCGTGTTAGTCCAGGAAGGAGAGCATTTCATGGAGGGAGGGAAGGGATCCTCATGCTCAGTGCAGGTGACAGGTGAAATGGGGTGAGGCCAGGGAGCTGACCACACCACATGGCCAGATGATGTTGCTCGGGAGGCTTCTACAGGAGGGCAGCCATGTCAGTGGAGACAGAGAGAGGGCCACCTGGGGCAGGGCATGGGGGTCAGAAGGACTTTCTTCCAAGGTTGTGATCAATACTACATGTACATGTCAGGAGTGGCACTGGAGAGGGCATGACTGCAGGAGCCCGGTTCCCAGGCCATGAAACGGGAGGGGACAGTGCCAACAGGAGGGCTGGTCTTAGACTAGGCAGGGGCAGTGACTGACAGTGACTGCAGGAGGGCGGAGACAGGCTGGCAGCATTCTTCACTGGCAGCTGATGCTGTCAGCAATCCTGACCTCAAAGCCTCCATCAGTTGAGTGTGAACAGGGGCAGAGGAGAAGGAACAGCATTCTGGGCAGACTCGACAGCCACCTAGGATATGCAGGCACCAACTGGAAGTGATGGCAGCCGGCTGACCTGTATGTTTTTCTCCAGGTACACTGAGGCCCCAAGTAAAGCTAGGAGGTCCCAGCCTCTGGCTAACCTGAGTGTGAAGTCCTTGATCTGTCTAAGTTTTGCTGATAAGGTTATTATAGTCCCTTTCCTAGAATATTTTGAGGGTGGGACTTGTGTCCACACTTTGTTTATTTCCCACTGACAGTGCAGAGGGGACCAGGCTGAACACCTGGCAAACAACACACTGCTCTGGAAGATGAGAAATGGAGAGCAAGTCCTTACCGTGGCCAGGGTGGAGGAGCACTGGACATCCTTTGGATCTGAAAGAGCAAACACAAGTCCAATGCTGAGAGCGTCCAGTAACCCAGGCAGTGCAGCCCAAGTAACGCAACAAAGCTGAGCCTGCCCAGAGATCTAACACAACACCAGGAATATGGGCGTGGATGGTCCTGTATTGGGCAGTCAAGTCACATGAGTAGATCTTAGCTGCTCTTGCCATAAAACCAAAAACAAAGGGTCACTATGTGAGTTGTGGGGAATATGTTCATTTGCTTCACTCTAATAGTAGTAACCTTTTGAGTATCTACATGCAGCCCCTAACACCATGCTGCATATTTTTAATATATACAATAAAACATATTTTAAATACCCAGGATACCAGTTTACACTTTTACTAAATCAGCTTATGTTTAAGAAAAAAAACCATCACCATAGCAAGCCAGGTGGCGTGAGGGAGCAGCTTGGCCACCCTGTACCAACCCATATGCCTGTCCCTGTCCCCTATCACCCCACCTGCTAGTCCACTTGTATGAAGGAGGGTACAGCAGATCACCAGCTAATGCCAAATGCTATGAATATGAACATACTGTGAATGTGGAAAACATTTCACAATGTGGCAAATAAATACAAGCAGAGCACAAGTATATTGTGCTGACGAGCCATGTGATACACATTTAAAGGATGACTAGATCAGGAGGAAATAAGAAATATGAAAAGTATATCAGGGCAGAAAAGCATCTATAATGAGGTATTTAATGTATGGAATTCATTAGAAATAAAAATTAGTGGAGACAAAGTATCTAGTTTAATACAGAACAAAAGGTCTTTCTGAGAATGTAAGGAAGGGAGGAAATGTGAAAGAGGGAACAAAACCACAAGCTGGCCTTGATCTTGTTCCTCTAAAATGGTGCTGGTGACCTGTGCTGAGCAACGTGGGAACTAGCAGCCAGATGTCAAGTCCGAGGAGCCGGCAGGAAACAAATCCACTTCCCCCTCAGACTCCAGAGGGCTGCCTTTTTCATCACCTTTCTCCTTTTCTCCTGACTACCCAGAATCCTGCTGTTTGTATAACTTCTGGCAAAACTGTTTACTGTTGTGAAACACAAACTGAGCCACAGGGCTTTAAGCTTCCCGTGGCCATTTGTTTACAAGTGACACCATGGATGGATCCCATCCAGCCTAGCACATTCCCACTGGACTAGAGGCCTCCCCATGCCATGCAGCCAGTCAGGGCAGCATTGAGAGCCTCACAGCCAACTGTGGGGTGCACTGCCTTCCTCTCCTGGGCATAGCCCAATGTGCCCAGGGACATGTAATCAGTATGCTGGGCAGTTTGGATGGTCCACCTGTGATGTGTGGTCACCAATTTAAAGTGACATCAGCTAGCTCACCCAGTCTGTCTTCAGTCACACTGTGACACTCCCCAGGAGCAAGCTAAGGGGCCCCCATGATATAGCTCTTCTTGGACTTTCACCCTGCAGGACATGTACATACACGTCCTTGGCTGGGACATGTCTGAGAGCAGTTCCATAGAGCAGACCCAGGGAGGCCTGAGAAAGGAGCCAGGGGGCCTCTGTTCTTTGGGCCTAGCCCTGGACAGGAGAAAAAAGTAAAGCACTAAGTCATACCCTCTTGCTGGTCCCAAGAATGGAGCATCTGATGCCTATAGGGGCCACCTGGAGTGATAAGGGCCAAGGAGAGAGCAGAAACAACCCAAGATGTACTTCCTATGTCCCCGTCTGCAGAGTGCTCTGTTCTCAGACACACATCTGTCCATCACAATTTACAGCCAGTTTTCACCATCCTGACACATCTAACCTCCACGTCACAAGGGGAGAGACTATCAAACTGATCCCCTGGGCGGGAGGGTCTTGTGGTTTTATTTTGTTCTGCTATAGATGAAGAGCACACAGCCCTCCTGTAGACAGTGCACTGTGTCTAGAGCGGACAGGGGACATCTGGATGGTTGTGCCTGCCTAAGTCGGATCAGAGGCACATTTACAAGAGCCCAGCCCTGCTTCAGTGAGAAGGAGGCAGAAAGTAGATTTGGAGTCTGGATATTGAGCTCTCTCTGCTTGCAGGGATGAGCATCAATACAGGCCCCAGATGCCCAGGGGCACAGGATGACCAAACTGTATGGACATGGTGCTGCACTCCTGAACAAGCACACTGTCATGGCCACACTAACCTGGGCAAGCACACTGTCGTGGCCACACCCCATCCTTCATCGCATTCCTCTTCCCCCAAGAGCCAACCCTCTTTCAGTGATGGAAGAGCATGAAAGTTGCTGCAGCCTCTAGACCTCAGATAGGAGACATTGGGCCCCTGAGCACTAGCAAAGAGGAAGCACACTGTTCTCCAGGGACTGGAGTCTAAAATGGACAGGACTCAAGTGCTGGGAACCAGTGCAGAAGAAAACAGGTAGCAGGAGTGGCCTTTCCCAGAACTCCTAGAACTGAAAGCCACAAGTCAACACATTAGGAAGGGATCAAAGTGCCCCCACCTGTCCCACAGTCCCCTTGTTCAGGCCATCCTGAGATGCTGCTGGATGCCTACTTGGCCTCCAGAGAACACAGTGAAAGGGGAACAGAGTGTTCCAGGAACGCCCTTTCTACTCACACCAGTGGGTGTGTCCAGATGCCTCATCTGAGTGTTTATTTCCATTTTCACCACACAGAAGCATAGCCTGAGAGCCTCAGCTTGGCAATGGTGGTAATCTTAAAAATGAAAAGGCTAGCTTCAGCGGCAGAAACAAGAGAAATAAAGAGAATATGCGTTAACTATCCAGATGCTGAAGCCAGCAGTTCTGATGCAAATTTGAGGGTACAGCTAATGCCCAATGTGGATAGATGAATTCGACTCCACATCCCGACCTGGAGGAGCAGGAATGAGCTACCTGGTGTCACGTGATTTTATTCTACTTTAAATCAAAGAACTAAATGCCAAGCACAACTTATCAGAACAGCTTGCAGGACTAGAGTCCCTGGGTGGGACTGCTGGGCAGCACAGGTTTCTCTACATTCAGTGTGACTGCTCAGAATCCTTCCAGGGTCAGAGCCTGCCTGATCTCTACTTGAGAAAGCAACTTCAAACTCAGTGAAATAAAAGGTTTCGTACTGAATCTGAAATGGAACAAGGAATTTGATTTTTGGCAGATACTCTTTACCTAATTAAGACATTAATCAAGTCTCACGTCATGCCATGGTTTCATAACATCGTCCAAGATACATCTTATCAGAAAGCAAATAAGTCAGCAAGATGGGGGTGAGCAGATACAGTCCCGGGGGCTGGCTCTGCATGCCTGGGCATGAGCACCGTGGCAGCCCGAGGAAGACATGAGACTTCCAAACCCTAGCCCCTGATGCTGAGGGAAAGAACAGGGGCAGTGGGACAGGGAGAAGAAATGTGGACACCATCGCTCCAAAAAGTCAGACAAGAACAGAAAATCCAGCAAGACCAAGAGAGGACCGGTTGCCTGAGGATGTCTGTACTTGAACACAGAAATCTTCTGGCAAGGGGATAGCCAGGGCAGCCACCTCACACTCAGCGCTAAGTAGCAGCCTGCTTTCCAACTCACCCTCAGAGCCTGCCCAGGGAAAGGAAACCCAAGACCTCCTGTGGTGGGTTGTCCCCTAAGCCACATGTACTTACGTTCGATGAGGAAGAGAAAGCACACTATCCCCATGGCTGCAACGATGGCCCCAGGTACAATGAAGGACAGGCCCCAGCATGTGGACACCCAGTAGCCAGCAATCAATGAGCCCAGGATGTTGCCCACGGAGGTATGGGAATTCCAGACCCCCATAATCAAACCTCGCCTGCAACACAATAAAACATGAGACAGAAAATGGTGTTGAAAGTTTAAACAAGACCGTAAGTGCAGGACACAACAGTGCCTGTGACATGTAAAAGTCAGTACAGAAACCAGCAAGTTAGCAACACAGAACTGCTTTGGCAAGATGGTCACAAGAGAAACATGTGGATTTCTATTGGCTTCAGGCTGTATAACCACATTTTCTACTTCTCTCTCAGAGCTTACTTATTTGATACTTAAAAAGAGGAAAGAGACCTTTTCCTAAAATTCTTAGAAGGCCTAAAATTTAAATCTGTGCCTCCACAATCTAAATACAGGCATTTGATGAACTATCACATTGACAAAAAGCACATCTGATGCATACAGCAGATGAATATAGCACAATATCTAAGACATAAAGTTTGAATTTGTTTCCTGTTTCAGCTTCCTCGTCTTGTGTGGCATTTTCCACCATAACTTAACCTTTGGATCGGCTGAACTATGTTTCACACAGTCATTTACAAATGAATCTGAACTCACCAGAGGCAGGGTCCCACCTGTCACTCATGGGTGAGCACTGGGTGACCCAGATCAGGACATCTCAAACTTCCATGTTAAAATGTAGATTCTGCTTCAAAGACTTGGGGAAGGACCCTGGACTCTGCATTTCCCACAAGCGCCCAGGAGGTCAGGTGAGACGGATGCAGCTGTTGGGAAGATGCAGTCGAGTGACATAGACCTGACCCCACCTACAACTTGGAGGGCTAGGCACTACCATCTTGTATGATACAGGCCATCCGAATTTTAGAAATTCCCTAGAGGTTTCAACTGTTTTGTTTTAAAGGGGAAACTGGTTAAAGTGTTTTTGCTATAATGAGTCTCCAGAAATCTGAAAATAAAGTGGTCTAGTTTTCATCAGGATCTTTTTAAAAATGAATGCTGTTGGAAGCAAGGCTACTTTTGCTTACCTTCCTTTTCCAAACCAGTTGCCAAGGCAGGTGACGACGCTGGGCCAGCCAGTGGTCTGCACCAGCCCATTGATGACCTGTGAGAGAGGACAAAAGAGAAACTAACCACATGCCAAATGCACATGAGCATGTACCTGGGGAGGCTCCCGGCACCTGCTTCTCTACCTTCTTAAGCTGGGGCTGAGCCAGCCTCTCATAGAAACAAGGGGCACAGCAGCCAAGATACATTTTAAATTGTGTATTTATATGTAGTTTAATTTATAAATATATTTTAAAACTATATACACAGGCATATATCTATCTATTTCAAAATAAAAGTGATGCATGCCTACAGTGGAAATTTCAGAATAAGTGGAGAAAAACAAGACAAGAAACCAACCCTGTCAGGACCCTACTGCAAGGAGATATTGCCTGATGACAGTACAGGGCCATGTTTTCTCATCTCTTTTTATTTTCAATTTTCTAATTTTTAAATTTTGCTCCAATAAGCTAAATGCCAATCCAGTCTCTTCTAAGTCTAAAAAACTTCATAGAGAAAAACTTTATTCTTTTTATAGAACTGCTTCTAGAACCACACTCTAAATATGGCTTATAAATTGCATGTTTCCCTTACAATGTCATGAAGAAAGTACTGTTGTTAATCATTCATTGAAATGAACATAACCTTAACTTAGCACCTGAAGAAAGAATTCCTATACTTTTCAAGAATATCCTGACTTGAGTTTTAAGGAGGGATTTAGGGACTGCATCAGTGAGTGGTTTGCTGTGGTATCCTGAGAAGCAGGAGCAGCACTACAAGGTTGCACAAAATAAGGGCCAGCTTGATGCTTCTGCGAGCCTCACTGAAAGAAGCCAGCTCCTAGAAGACATTGGAAGCTGCTGTCTACCTGCTGCTGCCTCTGGGCTGACTGGGCATGGCTTGACCTTCACTTCTTCACTCCAGGAACATGCTGGGAAAAGTGTTTTCTCCTTCCAATTTTACATATTACAAGTATGAATCACTTTCTAATTCAAACAGCCAAACTTTTTCAAGTGTTATAGCAAAATCTTGAAAAGCAAAATTAAATACAAATAGCTCTGATGATTTTATAGCACCCACAGGCTATTTGGAGAACCTCAGAAGCCTCACAAAACCAAGTTGAGCATCATTACTTCCAGTCATTTCCCACTGCTAATCAATACTTATCCACAGGACTGCTGGGAAGGGCAGAGCCTTGAGATTCCGGAAGGCCTGGGCCCAGCTCCAGGGGCAGACCAGTTCAATAGGCTGTCCCCAGGCCTTCTCCCACTTCTAGCACCTTCATGATCTCTCCTGTCCTCCCCTCCAACTACTTCACATCCCAGCCTGCTGCCCAGCTTCAAGGTCAGCCCTTCCTTCTACCCCTGCCACACCCCACATCCCTCAGTAGGGTCCCCCAGATCCCCTACTTCTGCCTGTCCTGACAGCTCTGTGGCCCAGAGCTGTTTTCCCTGTAAGCTTGAACGCAAGCTGGTCCTTGAACATTCCCGGGTACTGATAAAGGTATTTCAGTTGTTGCCCAACCAAAACTAGCCTTGGCCCTGAACTAAATTCCTAAAACCCTCATATAAACTCCATACTGGAACCCTCTCTGTGGGCAGACCCAGGTGGAACACCTCTTGTCTCAATGGTTGCCGAGACAACACTGCAGCCTCATTTGTGTACAAGCTCCCCTAATAAATGCTCTGGATGGATGGATCACTCTGGCATTCAGTGTTTATTTCTTTGGAACCCCAACTATTCCCACATTGGGATGATTTGGGGCACTCTCTTGTAGGAACTCCCCTGCCACCGCTTTGGGGCAACTCGAGCTGGGCATTCGACCAGACAGCACACCATTCAATTCCTGAGTGATACAATCTGCTATGAGACAGAACACCTCAAACTTATTCAAATTAAGACAGAATGACTCCTGAGGGTCTCGAGCTTCAATCCCCCTGATGGGGTACTGACAAATAGGATTCTTTAAGAGGCAACTCCTGAGACTAAGAAAAATCTCCTGGCTGCTGGAAATTCAAAGCAGAAGGGAAAGAAAGGGTTTTACATGTTAGCTGACCCTGACTTTGGACAGGACACAGTTTTGCCTCCTCCCATCATCACGGCAGAAGTGGAATCTTGTGCCATACACACCCCCTCCTATTCATCAAGGAAACCCCATATATGGTGAGCCATGGACACAAACCCTTACCTGAGTTACCACGTAGAATCCAAAACTGTGGACATTGTAGAAATACCCTAACCCAAACAGGGCGGTGAAAGCTCCGCTGGCAAGCATCCCGAAAGTTAGGTAATACCTAATCGGCAGGCGTTCCCCTATTATACCACTGAGGATGGAGAAGAAGGAAAGACAAACATGAAATAACAAACACACCCAGAATGTAAATGACCCGGCTGTTTCTTTCCGGATGTTTTCAGACTGTTCTCCAAGCTTTGAGAACTCTAAACATTACAATTTTCAGGAAGATTTAATACAACTATTTCCCTATGGAGTGTTTAATCACTAGAAACCAGTAATTGGCAGCATCTTATAAGACTTTTTATTTCTAGTAAAAGTCACAAACTGTCAAATATTAAAACCCAAACACTATGGCTTACATGTGTTTGCCAATTAAAGAAAACAAGACCTTGCCCTGCTAGTTAATCCTGCTTTCCTATAAACGATATCTAGGAAACATACATAGTATTTTAACATTTCAAGTGTCAAACTACAGAAAAATGTCATGAAAAGGGATCACTATGACCCTGAACAAGTCACTTGGTCCCACAAGCTGTGTTAAGTCACCTGTATTAACACACCAGGCTGGATGGGCTTGGTGGGAAAGTGGTATCAGCCACTCTGCCATCTACCACCTCCTGCCTCACCACTTTCACCTGTTTTAAAGACAGTAGATTTGCTTTAATGTCAGTCTGAAACACTGGAGCGAACCTCTCTGATCCTTTTGAACAGCAATGTGATTCAATAAAGAGCTAACCCATTCAGAGTTGTGGCTTCTAAAGATGTTTGAGCCTGGCACACAATGGGTGCTCAATAAAACAGGCATGAGGATGGTGCTCAATAAAACAGGCACAAGGATGGTGGGGAGTATGACAAGCCTCCAGCTTCACAGATTTAGTCTCTGACCACCATCACAGCACACTGCCTCATGCCATACGAGCACTCTCCTTACTGCTTTATGGGCAATGTCACTATGGAACAACTTAACATCATGACTTATTAAGTGAATAAAAAAGATATCCCAAATGACTGTGAGCCCTTTGCAAACAATAACGTTCCATGGGTCTCATTTTCTTCTGCTTAATCATTCTAGGTGTCAGATAAATACAAAACGTAACACAGAATGACATCTATCTGACTGTGAACAGCACTCTGAGAATTACCCCAACATTCTCTCCTTTAATCTCAAGAACGAACACACCAGAGAGCTTTTCCTTCTGAATGTACCAAATAAAGATCTACCTAGGATCATGCAACTGAACTTTTAAAGACTTAAAACAGGAGAAAGCAATTTAAAATTATCGACAACATGCAGGTAAATTTTTAGCTGAGCAGAAATTGACCATATACAGACTCAAGAGCTCTAGAGCTATCCACTTCTGCTTGCTCACTTCAGAGATCAGGAAATAAGTCCCTGAGAGGCTGGCTGACTTGCCCAAGATTGCATAACATGTGGCAGAATCAGGTGGGTTCCTGAGAGCTAGTACCACTGGCTAGGGCTTAGAGATAATCTCTAGTCTTGCCATAATATCTGGGCCCACTTAGATCTCTACTGAAATGTTCTAAAGAAAGTCTAATGGAATAAACCCCATTCACAGCACATCTGACTCACACATGGATTCAAGTCCACACTGCACCTACTTTAGCCTGCCTGAGCTCATGACCGTGCCCCCATGTCTGCCTTCATCTGATATACTAAACAAAATGACACCTGCTGCTGAGACCTCGGGCAGTGACTGTCACATGTAAAGGCCCCTTCAATAAAGCAGTGGGTGCCCTTGTTTCAATCATGAGTTTATTGTATAGATTTCACATTAGACAGAATTTCATGACCTCATCGACAGGTTGCATAAAAATTTTTGTTAATAAATAAGCAACAATAAGATCACTTTATTTACTTACACTAGGGCTTCTGAGCCTCAGCACTACTGCTATTTGGGGTCAGGTGATTCTTTGGCATGTGAGGCTGTTCTGTGTGCTGTACGATATTTACAGCATCCCTGGTCTCTATCCAGGAGATGCCAGAGGCATCCCCTTCCCTAGCTGTGACAAACACATTTGTCTCTAGACATTACTAAATGTCCCCTAGGGACCCCCAGTTGAGAACCAGATTGAAATACCTTTTTCTCAGTAACTGAGAAAAATACACTCCCACTTTGGATCTTTTTATATACTAGATGATTTGTTTCCAACGAAAGCACAGTGTTTAGAATAGAAACATTTGACCTTAGGATGGAGAACAGCTGAGACCCAGGCCTAAAGACCGTACCTCTCTTCAGCTGGGTGCATGTTCTGCTGTGCACCACACACTGTGGGCTTCCAAACCCTTTATTATTCATTCATTCATTCAGACAAGTTCTGCAGCACAAGGCAAATATGTATATTCAGTCAAGGGGAACTATGCACTCCATCAGCAGAACCTGCCTGACCAGACACCAACCACCCAGGAGGGCCCTGAGCTGGGTAGGGGCCCCAGGTCTTGATAATCTCACACTCTGGGTGGGTCTCAGTGAAGAAGCAAACATCTGCAGGGATCCCTGAGATTTTCAAAGTTCTAAAGATCTCCAGCCTCTGGACAAGTCTCTTGGGACTAAAAGCCTTAGTTCCTTGCTATGGTGTGAATATGGAAGGTCCCCAACATAGCCCTGTTGAGAGGTGGAGGGACCTGTAAGAGGCACTGGAGTCTGAGGAATCTACCCTCATGAAGGGATCAATGTGCAGGAGTGAGTGCCTACTCCCTCAGACCTGGATTAGTTATTAGGGGAGCAGTTGTTATATAGTAAGGTCCCCCTGGGTTTAGTCCTTTCTGCACATGCTCTCACTGCTATTCACCCTGGCACATGCTCCCACCATGTGACACCCTATCCATGTTATGATTTGGCACGAGGCCCTTGTCAGAGACTGCTGACCAGTCGTTAACTTTCCAGCCTCCAGAACTGTGAGCTAAATAAACCTATTTTCTTTATAAATTACCAATCTCAGGTATGTTCTTATAGCAGCAGAAATGAACTGAGATATCCCTATAATGCCTTTTTAAAAAAAACCTGGCTAGGCCGACACAATAGTTTTTTATCAGCCAACCCCACATGTCCTCTCACCCATACAACCAGTCAATGAGGTCATGAAATTCTGTCTAATATGAAATCTGAAATCTATACAATAAACTCATGATTGAAACCAGGGCACCCACAGGTTCACTGAAGGGGCCTTTTCACGTGTCACTGCACAAGGTCTCGGCAGCAGGTGTTGTTTTGTTCAGCATGCCAGATGAAGTCAGACATGGTGGACACGGTCACTAGCCCAGATCAAGCCCAGCAGGTTTAAGTAGGTTGTTTATAATGTGGAACAGTCAATGCCTGGGTCAGTTCCAGAATGGGATCAGGAACAGGCTAGGTCGGCACCATTTTGCGGGCACTGTTCTGGGCTTCTACATGCATTAGCTCATTTAACTCTCACCACAATCCTGTGATGAAAGAACTACTCTTTCTCTCATTTTGCAAAGGGAAAACTGAGACCCAAAGAGGTATAGTAACTTGTCTCAGCGCATACCCTAGCTAATGAGAGAGCAGGGATTCAAATCCCACGAGTCTGTCTCTGGAGTCCATACTCTCACCTGCAGGCAGTGTTGCCTCTGCTGCGCCCATGCTCTCTTTGGGGCCATCCAATGGAGATGCTCAGCACATGTTCAGCTGCTCTGCACATGTTCAGCTGCTCTGACCATTAGGTGAAATTTGTTATTTGGGATGTGTAAAGAGATGGCAGCCTCTAAGCCACAGAAGAGGACCTGTGAGTGCCACGTAGCGCCTCTAGAACCATGTTCCTGAATGAACGCATCCTAGGATCAACAGGGTTCACAGTGGGTCCTAAACCCCAGGGCCAGGAAAGCTGAGGGCAGCCTGTGTCCAATCAGCAGAATACCCAGGATGTCTCTGTTTCAAGGCCCCGTTGCAGATGCAGCACAGCACACCTGCTTTCACCTAAGGTCATGCTCATCTCTGAGACCACAAGGGAAGCTGACTGCAAGCAGGGGCTTCACTCACATGCTCCCGTGCTCTTCAGCTTAACTGAAATACCTTCTGCACCGAATGGATGAGGTAACTTGGAAGGACCTGGAAAACTCACGCAACCTACCTCAGGTACATCCCAATGGCATATGCACACAGGAAGGAGTAATCCAGGGCCCCAAGCAGCTGCTGGTAGTTGTTCTTATCTATGTGAACATGAAAATTGACAAGGAAAGTTCAGAAACACTGAGTTGATATTCTGGAGCAGGTCTACAAAATGCAAGACACCTGTTCCCTAAGTCTGGGCCTACTAGCAAAGTGAAAGGGTGGTTCTGCACAGAGAAAACATGGCTGCACGTCTTCTGTTCAGCTTCTTGCAAAGGAAAATAATGTCACCACATTTTCAAATAACCACTAAGTACCGGGGGACTCAGAAAACCCGGAAGTTATTTATAAAAAACTGTGTAACTATTCTTACATGTTTAAACTTCAGTCACCTTCAAAGTACTCTCCATTTGATGCAGTACACCTATCCAGATGCTTTTTCCACTGCTCAAAACAGTTTTTGAATGCGTCAATTTTGGTGCCTTTTATTGCTTCTGTCATTTTTTGTTTCACCTCTTCCACATCAGCAAAACATTTCCCTTTGAGGGTTTTCTCATCCAGGGAAACAAAAAACAAGTTGGTGGGGGCGAGATCAGGTGAGTAGGAAGGGTGGAGCACAGGGGTCACGCCATTTTTGGTCAAAAACTGTGGTGTGGGCAGGTATGCTAGTAAATCATCTATCATGAAGTGGGCAAACATGTTGAAAGAATCTCCAAAAAAAAATTCACTGGAGCTGAATGCAGCCTCTCACAACACTACTAGTGGTACACTGATGGCCATAAGTTCCTAGAACACTTGCCTAGTGGGGAAGCCTACAAGGGGCCTGCCCTCCAAAAGATCATTCCATTTTTTCAGGTTCCCCCTTGTACAAACACCCTTCAGATTAGCTAAAATTCCCATTGTTCATGGTGGGTTGGGGTCCTTTGATTTATCTCTTTTGTTCCTCCCATCCACAGCCGTATGATCTGCAGGTCCTAACTTCCAGCTCCATACAAAATGCAAGCGATCATCAGTGGATTCCCCATGAGAGCCTTCTTTCAGGTGGCAACAGCTCTGGGACAGGCACTGCAGACACTGCAGCAGTGGAGTAAGGATCTCTGGTAGGAGAGAGCTGTCAGGGAAATGCAGCTGCATCTGAGAACAGCATCACTGCCACTAAGATTAGCAGGGTCAGAAGAACTCTGAAAGGACAGCTACTTCAGGGCCTGGGCAGGCAGACAGACTCATGATGAACTCACCAAATGGTGCCCAGCCGCAGTCAGTCTCGTTGTCTGGGAGCTGGCGAGGGGTAACATCTCCGGCTTTGTTGCTCTGGCTGTGGAATCTGACATCAGCCTCATCCGAAGCAGTACAATGCTTGTGGAGCTCGCCCTAGGACATGGGAGACAGAGGCCAGGAGAGGAAGCCCCTGAGTGAGGCTCAGTGGGGCATGCAGAAGAACAGCCACCCTTCCTCTCCCAGCAGCCTGTCTGGGGACCTGCTTTCCAAGTGGGACCAAGGCACCATGTGGTGAGTCTCCAGGACACACAAGAATACCTGCTGCTGAGGGAATGTTTCAGGAGGACTCTCCAGCAAGCACCCTCCTGAGCACATACACAACTAACATAAGCATCATACAGCCACCAAAAGACTAATATTGGGAGCAGTCGTAGTCCTAGGAGCTCCAAGCTGAATGCCAATGCCTGTCATCCTTGGGCTTCTGTCCACAAGGGAAGAACGGGTACATTTTCCTAGATCCACACAACTGAACACTGCACAACAGTTAATAAGGGCAAGTACCAGTCCATGTAACGAGTATGAATTTCACAAAAATAGCACTGAGCAAAAGCAGCCAGGCATACAGGGCTACAGACTGCATGATGCCATGTAGAGATAGAGGTAAGACTCATGGTTTGCCTTGATGGGTGTTGGTGGGGGTGGTAGGTAACAATAGAGGAAGGGGCACAGGGAACCTTCTGAAGCCAGAACAAACCCATATCTTAGCCTGGGTGATAGTTACCCCGGTGTACATGTAAATATTTGTCATATTAGACACTTAAGATTTATGTACTTTACTAAGTACAAATAATACCTCAACTTAAAAAATACCTGGGGCAGGAGACCACTAGCCATTCTCTAGCTGTCCGACAGGACCAGCAGGCAGGGCCAGGGTCAGTGCTTGCCTGAGATACAAGTGGAAGGAAGCTGTGGCTTGGGAGCTTGGTGACTGACTGGCTGTGTGAGCAAGGTATTTGCCGTGCCTGCTTCAATCTCCCCATCTGCAGACAGGGCTGCTGCTTACTTCCAGAACAGTCATGAGAATCATGATGCTGAATGCTGTTTTTTGCACAGAGCTTAGGGCGGACTAGACGTGAGAACCAACACTGGACAGAGAGGAAAACACATCTATTAGGAAGAAGTGGAAAGGGGGACCTGAGCAGGGTTCTGGCTCAGAGTGTTCCTTGGGAAGAGGAGTAACACTTCCAGAAAAGTGTCACATGTGGCAGGGGCTCATCCTGTTGTAAGGGAAACTTGCTCTGTGATACCACATGCCTTCCCCAGGTGGCCTCTCTCACCCCCATACCTCTCCTGCTCTGAGGTCTCTTCAATAAACATTTTGCACTTCTAGAGGCTCAGATGAGCTGATCCACCAGGTGTGTGCAAGGTCAGAAAGCAGAAGTCCACATGCTCAGGAAGGTGTCCCTTGGGACACCCTTTCAGTGCACATGAGACCAGAGGTGTATCCTTTGTGAGCCAGAACCTAAGAGAGGCTGGGGTGTAGAGAGCGGTATGCAAAGCCGGCTCCAGGTCAGAGTATAGCACGCTGGGCAAGGAGCCACCCCAGTGACAGCAGCCAGCAGCCGGAAGTCCTGCCCTCTTTCTAGGAAGGAGCAGCCAAAGGGGTTGGCCCTGAAAGCCTGACTTGCTGGGCTCTGGTGAGCCTGGGTTGGACACCCTGACATCCAGCTGGCTGCACTTGGCCACATCACAGAGTCCTGGCATGGTACACGGATGCAGCTGCTCTGTGGCCACGTGACTTTGTCATCATCACTGGGCTGTCCTGCTATAATTAAACACAGCCCTAAAAAGCTCGCCAAGGGCTCCAGTTTCCAATGCATAGTCATGATCGGCCTAGCGCTCCCTCACAGAGCTGGGCTCTATGGAGGCCACGCTGGCCTCCTGGCATCTCAAGAAGTGAGTGTAATCACTTGCTCCCTGATTGTACAGAGCCGCTGGCTGCTCCTGTCTATGGTCCAAGTTCTGCACCCAAGGTGGGCATGAGGGCCTGCACACATGGCCAGGAGATCAGGCAGAGACCTGGGCGGGATGCTTGTGGTCCTCCTCCCTGTGCAAAGCAGGCATCTGCAGTCTTTCCCATTCACCAGCCACCTGATTTTATATTTCTCTCCTCAGAAGTCTGGTGTTTTTGTCCACCTTTTCCTGCTGCTTCCCATGGAAGTCAATTTGGCCATGCCCAAGAGGCTTAAATGTGGCTGCTCCTATCCTCCTCTCCCTGAAGAAAGTCACAGGTAGGATGGAAAGGATATTCCCAGGCTGAGAGGGAACTGTCTATGGGGCTAAACTGAGGTTTCTAATGTTAACCTTGCACAGAGGCAAGGAATAAGAAGTTCTGCAGACCATTGCTTAAAACAGAATCTTCGCATCCTTTCTCATCACTTAGTACTCCTGGGGAGAAACCATCTGTGGAAAATATAACAGATTAGAAAGGACTCCAAGCAGAAAAGCTTTTCTAGTTTGCGACATGACAAGTAGGGGCCTGGCATCCTGGTTAGGGACACAGTCTTTGCCTGTAGACAGGCCTGAGCTGGGACCTTGATGCCACTGTGTGGCTAACAACCGTAGTTGTTCGAGAGGCAGTCATGTGATGATACAAGGCACAGGGTTGCTGTAATGACGGGCCACATGCCATACGGAGCGCCTCTGTGGCCTTCAGCCCTGGGGCTTAGGAACTGGCAGCTGCGAGTTCAAGGTGCCACCTACATAGTGGTCCCTGGGGAGACTGCACTTGGAGTCTCATTCAGCTTTTTACTCCACACACCCTGCCCTGCCCTTCTCTTTCTCGTTAGAAATGTAGTTTCTACCCTCACCCCACCCTGCAGCACTGCTGGAAGACTGCAGCAAAAGTGATACAAGATTTCATATGATTCCATCATAAAGGACGCTGAGGGTATTTAAATAACCATGGGTTCATTTTCAGCAATATTGCTATATTTCAACATTTCAATGAGTTTTATCCCCAAAACCTGGTGTTTGAGGGACAATTCAGACTTAATTAAGTTTAGATGAGCTGATCAGAAAACCCCTTGCCAGGTGAAGGAACTTGCACCATGGCACTTTAAGGACACATGAGTCTCCCACAGCTGCTGCTTCCTCGGCAAGCCATAGGTGGGGTGGAGAGGCAAGCCGTGGGGGGGGGGGGGGTAGCAGTCAA